AGACGGGTCATCATCATCAATAATAATCATCATCATCATCATCATCAGACAATAATCAATAATATCATCATCATTCATTGTCAATATCAGACGGTCATCATCAGACGGTCAATAATAATAATCAGACGGTCAATAATAATAATAATAGACGGTCAATATCAGTCATTAATATTAATAGACGGGCCGACACACACACACACACAGACGGCCACACACACACACATTAATAGATGGACGGATGTACACACACAATCAGACGGTCATCATCATCATCAGACATCATCATCAATCAGACGCATCATCATCATCAGACGCAATCAACAACGGACGGACGGTCATCATCATCATCATCAGACGGTCATCATCATCAATAATAAGTCAAACAAAAACACAAACAAAAACAAACACACAAAAACACACTGTCTAATGCTGGGGTTGGGTTGGTTGGGTTGTGTTGCTGGGCTGGTTGGGTTGTTGTGTTGGGTTGGTGCTGGGTTGGTTGGGTTGGGTTGGGTTGTTAGTTGGGTTGGGTTGGGTTTGATACAGTTAACCTAACAGAAACACACTGCCAACACGAGCGCAGTCATCATCGTCTGGCGTACAACTCCACAGCACAATGACGGATACTACGCCAGACGAACGTTCGGTTACCTTCTGCCTGTGGTGGAACTGTATCTGGTTGCGTCTGTAGCTCTATACACTATTTACTTGCTAACTGACTCACCCACTGACCGAGAAGACAATATGACGCAATACCTGACGGAGAAGTTGGTGTTTACAGTGTCGTTCATGTTTACTTGTTTACTCTTGTGTGTGTGTGTGTGTGTGTGTGTGTGTGCGTAACTGTGTTTGTGGTTGTATGAGTGTGTACTAGTGTGTGGAGTTACATGACGCCTACACCAGTATGCTCTACGGTACACACACACACACACACACACACTGACAACACAACGCCCGCCCCACCCACTCAAGTATCACATCCACCCTCATCATTTTAAAAAGAATCTCTATTTTTGTTTAATAGTTGGCGATTTTTTTAATATTTGGCGATTTTTAACATTTGACTTTTTTAATATTTGGCGACTTTTTAATATTTGCGACTTTTTTAATATTTAGGACTTTTAAATATTTGGCGAATTTTTAAATATTTGGCGACTTTTTTAATATTCATAAAAATCCATTTACTGAATAATTTAAACTGGACAAAAATACATTAGTTTATTTTAATATTTCTTAATAACGAAACTACAACTTTTATAATATTTCTCGTGTCTTAATAAAACCAAATAAAAACAACAGTGAAAGTTAGTTTATGTCTCTTTGTCCGTCTGTCATACAAAACATTCATACATGACATAAACATTCATACATAACATAAACATTCATACATAACATAAACATTCATACATGACATAAACATTCATACATGACATAAACATTCATACATACTACATGACATAAACATTCATACGTGACATAAACATTCATACATGACATAAACATTCATACGTGACATAAACATTCATACATGACAACATTCATACATGACATAAACATTCATATGACATAAACATTCAAACATGACATAAACATTCATACATGACATAAACATTCATACATGACATAAACATTCATACATGACATAAACATTCATACATGACATAAACATTCATACATGACATAAACATTCATACGTGACCTAAACATTCATACATGACATAAACATTCATACATGACATAAACATTCATACATGACATAAACATTCATACATGACATAAACATTCATACATTTTCACCTGAATGTATGTTTTTGTTTATTACTGTTTTTGTTAATGAAATATATTGTTAGACGTTTTTTTTTCTGGGTTTTATTTATATTGTGTTTGTTTTTTGTTAATGAATGAAAGAAATTGTTTGTAGGTGTTGTAAACAATAGAGGTGTTTGTAACTTGATTTTTTGTTTGTTTACACTTGATGTCCTCCACCGCCTCCCCTCTCACTTGCCCCCTTTCCCCTCTCTTCCGACCTCCTATACCTCCCTCTCACCCCTCTTGCCTCCCTCTCATCCCCTGCTGTCAAGTATACAAATTCTTGTGGCCAATACAAGGTAATGGCGACACGAGAGCAGTGGTACGCATGTGTGTGTGTGTGTGTGTGTACATGCATTCACAACCACACATGTATTTGTATCCGTGTGTGTGTGTGTGTGTGTGTGTGTGCGCGGGTGGGAGGTAGTGGCACATAGAAGAGGTCTCCGGCTGCCGCATGCGTCACTCGTGTCTAAGACGTTGGAGCCGCATGGTGTTCCTCCCTCCCTCCCTCACCGCCAGCCATCGTGATAGACTCCTGACGCTGGTAATACCTGGCCTTCTTAATTAACACACAAACACACCTGATGATACACTACACCGTTTATTGTTCCCTCTCCGTTGTGATGCTCTGTTGTTTACTGTGTTTACTGAGGGTTAGTGTTTACTGTGTTTACTGAGGGTTAGTGTTTACTGTGTGTTTACTGAGGGTTAGTGTTTACTGTGTTACTGAGGTTAGTGTTTACTGTGTTTACTGAGGGTTAGTGGTGTTTACTGTGTTTACTGAGGTTAGTGCTGGTGTTTACTGTGTTTACTGAGGGTTAGTGCTGGTGTTTACTGAGTGTTTACTGAGGTTAGTGTTGGTGTTTACTGAGTGTTTACTGAGGGTTAGTGCTGGTGTTTACTGAGTGTTTGAGGGTTAGTGTTGGTGTTTACTGAGTGTTTACTGAGGGTTAGTGCTGGTGTTTACTGATGTTTACTGAGGTTAGTGTTGTGTTTACTAGTGTTTACTGAGGGTTAGTGTTGGTGTTTACTGAGTGTTTACTGAGGTTAGTGTTGGTGTTTACTGAGGTTAGTGTGGTGTTTACTGAGTGTTTACTGAGGGTTGGTGTTTACTAGTGTTTACTGAGGTTAGTGTTGGTGTTTACTGAGTGTTTACTGAGGGTTAGTGTTGGTGTTTACTGAGTGTTTACTGAGGTGTGTGTGTTATACTACGGGTAGTGTTGGGTTGGTGTTTACTGAGGGTTAGTGTTGGTGTTTACTGAGTGTTTACTGAGGGTTAGTGTTGGTGTTTACTGAGTGTTTACTGAGGGTTAGTGTTGGTGTTTACTGAGTGTTTACTGAGGGTTAGTGCTGGTGTTTACTGAGTGTTTACTGAGGGTTAGTGTTGGTGTTTACTGAGTGTTTACTGAGGGTTAGTGTTGGTGTTTACTGAGTGTTTACTGAGGGTTAGTGTTGGTGTTTACTGAGTGTTTACTGAGGGTTAGTGCTGGTGTTTACTGAGTGTTTACTGAGGGTTAGTGTTGGTGTTTACTGAGTGTTTACTGAGGGTTAGTGTTGGTGTTTACTGAGTGTTTACTGAGGGTTAGTGTTGGTGTTTACTGAGTGTTTACTGAGGGTTAGTGCTGGTGTTTACTGAGTGTTTACTGAGGGTTAGTGTTGGTGTTTACTGAGTGTTTACTGAGGGTTAGTGTTGGTGTTTACTGAGTGTTTACTGGGTGTGACAGTGTCGGTGTGTTTGTTTACTGAGTGATGCTGTGTTAGTGTATATTGACTGATTCAGTTTAATGAGCGTGTTTACTCCTTTCTCTAGCGTTCATGTACGTGTTAACCAAGAAACGTAGTGTTTATGTACGTATGTTTTATTTGTTATGTACGTACGTGTTATTTGTTATGTACGTATGTCTTATATGTTATGTACGTATGTTTTATTTGTTATGTACGTACGTGTTATTTGTTATGTACGTATGTCTTATATGTTATGTACGTATGTTAACTCACTATACTTTTAATTTATTCTCGCTCTTATAATATTAATTTAACCTAAAAATTCCCTTAATCTCCAGAAGTTAATTATACCGATGTTAAATTAACCTATGTATCTAGGCCATTGTGTTAATTTAACTTAATGAGTGTTAATGATCGTCTCCTAATTACAATGTTACTATACATTACTAATTATACACTAAAGGTTAATTACATATATATTTAACATGCTATTAACATGATTTAGTAAACGCTTCATAATTTAACTTTATGCATAACTAAATATTACACTTTTACAATGTGTATATCATGTTACTTTATCTAGTGTTAATTTCATGTTAATGTTAACTGATACTATAACAAATTTGTATTCTTAGTGCTTGTTAACTTAGTATTAACTTAACCTTACTAATAAATATATGTTAATTTAACTGTTTTTTTATTTTTACCAATTAACATAATGTGTGAGTCATTGTTTAACTCAACCACACAAACAAACAAACACAGACAGACGTAAAGACGGACATAAAAACAAAAACAGACAGACAGACATAAGACAACACAACACGAAACAGACAAGACCGCTACCATAACGAGGTCAACCCTACAGTGGTTCCTCGCGACACAGGTAACGTCCCAATTACCTGTCAGGTGTGTAGTCAACATCTCAAGGACGTGGGAATATGGATGATTGATATATCGGGTGTGGGTGGTTGGGTGGGTAGGGGTGGGTGGGTGGGTGGGTTGGTGGGTGCGTGGGCGAGTGCGTGTATCAAATGTGGGTGGGCGGGTGGGTGGGTTTTTTTGGGCGTAAGCTTTATCATAACCTCTTTATTACACATAGTTACACAACCTAACCTAACCTAACCAGAACCTAACCCAACGTAACGTAACTTGAACCTAACCAGACCAGGTGGAAATAACTCGTCTCCCAAACCTGTACTCAAATACATAATATTACAGTACAATTTTCCCCCAGATACAAAATTATACCTTCCTGTAATATCAGTACAGAAAATGATCAAGAATACTGGATGAATTATATTTGATTTATGTATTTTTGTATCTTCCTGTAATCCAGAATTATTACCTAGATTACAGTGTGGATTATTTCGTTTTTGTATTTTTATGTAATGTAAATAATTAGATATATTACAGTATGGATTATTCTTTATATATTAGGTACTTGTATTGTCCTGTAACCCACAAAACTTACAAGGGATTATTTCTGTAACCAACAAAATTATCAACACCAATAATACAAATAATTAAGAAGGCCTAAACTAAACATAATAAAATACAAAACATGACTGTACTTTATGAGTTAATGAATATACACAAGTTACAGCCAGGATACAGGTACAGTACACGCCTGAGAGAGAGAAATTGGACCTTGATTACAAAAACAAGGATGGTGGCGGTGAGGGGGAGACGGGGCGATTATTTGATGGCTTGTTTGTTCACATAGATCTTGGTTCTCCTACACCCGCACACACACACACACACACACACACACACACACACACACACACACACACACCCTCACATGGAGCTCGAACCAGTGTAAAATAATTGCCGACCTCAGTGTAATAACCTCTCACACACCATAACACAATAACACCATTAATAACACTATAATCACTATAACCACCATCCCTTAAAGCCCAAAATTATTGACTCAACTTATTCATGGTGTATAATCTATAGTGAAAGGTTTAATTTAAAGGTTTAATAATCCAGGTAAATTATCACGTGTTGGTATTATTGGTTCATTACAGGTGAGAAGGTGTGGTAATTAGCTTATAGTGGACAGGTGTGTTTGGGACCTAACAACCAGGTGTATCGTGGAGGTGGAGGGTGTCGTTCAGGGTGTGTATGGAGTGGAGTGTTCCATCTCTCTCTACTCCTCACCTCTCACTCCTCACCCATCCCTCTCACCCCTCTTCTTTCCCTCTCCTCACCTCTCACCCTCCTCTCTCCCTCTCCTCACCTCTCACCCCTCTTCTTTCCCTCTCCTCACCCCTCATCACCTCCCTTGCCTCTCATCCAACTCTCCCTCTCCTCACCTCTCACCCTCCTCTCTCCCTCTCCTCACCTCTCACCCTCCTCTCTCCCTCTCCTCACCTCTCACCCCTCTTCTCTCCCTCTCCTCACCTTTCACCCTCGTATATCTTAACCATAATGACTTCAATTTGTTTTAACTACTCTGAGGTGATTTACGATTCACAGTGATTATGGAACAGCCAATCAGGATCTTACGACTTACATCTTAATTGCTGTAGTTCGCTTGTTTAGATTACGTCTTTGAGTGTAAGTTTCATTTTAATTCGTATCGTTCCATCCTGGTATCTCACACAAGTTCCACTCTGGTATCCTACACAAGTTCCACCCTGGTATCTCACACAAGTTCCACCCTGGTACTCTACACCTAACACAGGTTGACTCACAAAGCACCGTATTTACATAAGCCCAGACAGGTATTGTAGTCAGAAGAGAAACTTGACATTGAAGATTATAAAATACGAGTGTGTTCAGTAGGGACGTCTTCATTCCCTAGATGGCGCTAAATATCCGACATACCCGCCCTGTACTCTGGTGACGTCTGTTGCTGTAGCCACGTCAGGTGATTGACTAGTTTCTGGTGTGTGTGATTCGTGAATGACTCGTGTGTGACTTGTGTGTGATTCGTGTGTAACTCGTATATAACTCGTTCATAACACGTAAATAACTCGTGTACTATATAACTCGTAAATAACTCGTTCATAACTCTTATATAACTCGTATATAACTCGTTCATAACTATTTAACTCGAATATGACTCGTACAAGATACCCCCACCTGACCTCACATTAGTTAGCAGAATTTGTTAAGCACTGTCTGTTAATTCACTTTGACAGTAACGGGAAATATGAGAACGTATCTAACTGGTTCTCTCAAGGTCCCAAACTCGTTTTAATCACCGCCACTTGAAGAAAATAATGTCAGGGAAAAAATTCATGCCAGGGAAAAAAGTATCAGTGGGGAAAAAGTCATGGCAGGGAAAAAATATCATCTGAAAAATTTATCAGGGAAAAAATCATCTTAAAAAATCACGCCAGGGAAAAAAATCACCGGGAAAAAAATCACGCCAGGGTAAAAAAAAAATCACATCAGGAAATTCTCAAATGTTCATGACTTTATCAGTACACAAATAAACACGAGGAAATAGTCATGTCTTCACGGGTGGTTCTGGTACACTATTAACATTAGGAAATTAATGCATTGTAACTTTTCAGTGTGACTCATCGCTTAACACAAGTCTTTCTCAATTGTCGGGTCACAAAATGGTGTTTGGAATATGGGTTTGTTTGTTTTTTTTAATGTTTTTTTATGTTGTCTTTGAAAAAAATCAATGTTTTCTTTGTATGTTTTCAAATGTTCAAATATCTTCATGGTAGAGGTTACAAATAAATATTACAGGTTTATTTTATAGAATGTTCAATTAGAATGTAAGTGAATGTTGCAAGTTTCCTGGTGTTTCCCCGTTATATGAGGAGGAAATAGTGAACGAGCTTCTCTCTC